TTGAGGCGTAGGATAGTAATAATAATAATAATAATAATCCTTGCATTTGATATAGCGCTTTTCAGTGTCTGAATAAGAAGCGGATTTGGCAAGTTGTGTACTTTCTGTAGACTTTCTGCTACACGTTACTTAAACTGAAATGTGAGCCAACTCACCAGCTACTTGTGCAATTCGGTCAAAGTTAAAAATGTGGAAACGTTGAAACTCTTTTCGAAACTCCCCAATGGTGGGGCAGGCGAGGTGGGGGACGTGAAGCAAGCCTCAGCCCGCTGAGCGGAGAGAGCGGGCAGGTTGGTAGGGAGTTAGGAGGTCGCAGAGGTAAGGGGGGAGTGAGGCCATGGAGGACTTTGAAGGTGAGGACCAGAATCTTGAATTGTATCCTCTGTGTAGATGAATGACAGTGGCTTTCCGAGACTTTATACAATGCTGTAAAAGAATGAAACGTCAAACTCAAGTCTAAACAAGGATCAAAGCTAAGTCACGTTTGAAGGAAAACGGAAGGGGAAAAGGAGCATGGTGATGTGGGGGTGGAAATGTGGAGCTGAAAGGTCCAAGCTCAAACTAGCACTGTTGGCCTAGACTATAAAGTGTCAAACAGGCTATTACATTGTAAAACATTAAAGGTTAATTTGGTCTCTGTCTTTTTGTCCTGTTTATTATTTATAGAGCGCAATTGGCTGCCGCGTTTTGCCCACAAAATATACAGTCAATTCACTTTTACAGTATATTCTGTAAAGAGCCTTGAGACAGCTCGAAGATGTGATACGACAATATATCAAATGCAAGGATTATATTATATTGAGGGTGAAAATGTCTGTGTCAATCTTCACGTGTAAGAGAAAAAGAATTGGGGAGAAAGTGCACCTAGTCCTGGATTGACTTTATCAACATTGCCATTTCAGAGATTTTCCAGGATTTTTGCAAATTCTTAAACGCTCCGTTTTCAAGCCGGCTTTCCCTGAGCTTTCTCTTCAAAGGAAACGGGGAAAGTCCGACTTCAAAGTCAGGGATGGATTCGCCAGACGCTCTAATGTGCTACATAAACAAAGCAAATCTGGACCCAAGTGGAATTTCTCCACCAACTATGTGGAATCGTGTTTGTTGTAAAGAAGGTGAGATTGCAGCAGGCTGTTGCCCTCCGCTGTTGCAGTGATGAAGCTTAGATCCCTACATGGTAATGAATGTGTGTGCAGCATGTCATGTGTTTAGCATGTGGAGCTTGTTACCAACTTTAGAAATAATCAGAGCCCACGGAGGACTCAATGAGCTCACTTACGGTCACGTGAATCCTTCTGGCAGACGGCTAACAAATTGGAAGGCCCGGTAGCCTCATTGTAGAGCAATCTGGAGTGTGAGTTGCTCACAGCGTTTTCTCATCCTCAGAAAGGGTTCATCTCTCTCTCTCTCTCTCTCTACTGACAGACAAACGCCACATTGTGTTTCAAGCAAAGCTGCAGCTTTGGTCGTCGTACTGATATAACCACTGGGACTTTATTCCCAAAGGGATATTGTCCACTATGTAAACATTTTTTCCTTTGCCCTTGGTTCCCTGTCTGGTTTTTGACGTGTAAATCAATCAAAAAAAAATGTTGGTTTTATTTTGTGAATAAACAAACTTTATGAAATCCTTACGAAAAGTACATTCTTTCAACGTTTCAGCACTTTTTACACAACGTCACGCCACTTTGCAATATATGCCGTGAAAGCGCTTTGGGATGCCTTTTGATGACGTGGTAAGGCACTGTATCAAACGCAAGGATTATTATTCTGTGAATGTTTTCCTCAATTTGTGGGTAAGAAACCTGCTCACTAACCCAGCGTTTTGTTTCTGACAGTATTGTTTATTCATCTTGTTTTATATTTTCAAGTGTTCACTTTATAATTGTTTGGTCTTCCTTCTTTTGGTCAGAAGTCAAGAAAACGTCATTTTCATTTGTTTGGGAAATATATAATAATCTTGTGTTTGATATATAGTGCCTTTAAAGTCAGCCAGTCTCCCAGTCCTTCGCAAATGCAAGCGTCAAGTGTAGGAACTGTGTATTTGTAAGTGAATGAGCAGCTAATTTGCAAGCAGCTTGGCAGGACATCTGGAGAAATTTATTTTTTGGATAGCGTTGTGGGATCTCTTCAAGCTATCACCTATATAAATAAAATATAAATCTAGTGAGTTAACAGACCAAAACAGGGGTCAGCCTGGATAGAATTAACACTGAAAAGCATTAAAGCACAACTTAATGTTAATAATATATTAATAATCCTTGCATTTGATACAGCGCCTTATCACATCTTCGAGATGTCTCAAAGCGCATCATAAGAATAAACTGTAATGTGTAGTAACCGTGTGTTTTGTGGGCGATACAGTCCGGTTAAGGAACTCTGCCACACCATGGCACTCAGCTCCGAAAAATAACACCAAAAATGATGCAGTGTACAAAAGGATATGACTCTAGCAAGGTACGAATCTTCTCTGAAATTATCATAAACTGTGCCAAACATTCAGTCAGAAATAGTTTTAACACGTGGACGCAGGTGGGAAAGGAGCTAAGTAGGCTAAGCAGATGGATGGAACTGCAGGATCCATCTGGAGCCTGATATTTCATAAGTTCCGATTCCGATGTAAATAAAAAGATATTCCGAATCCAGGGAGAGAGATGGGCACTCCTTTCCAGGCACAGGGCAATTTCCATGTGGAGGAGGCGTCCGGCTGGCTCTCCCAGGTAAACAATCTGGCCAACGATCTCCCAGGTAAAATTGGTCAAACACTTCTTGGCTATTTGCGGACGTTTCCGAGTGGAAATCGGCCGCTGCATTCATCTAAAATAGACCGTCACACCACTTTACAATAGTCCTGTGAAGCTCTTTGAGACGTCTCGGCGGCGTGATCAGCCGGTATACGAAATGCAAGGAATATTATGCACATGTCGAAGTCTCAATCTAATTTGGATACCCTGAAGCACGGTCCTGGGTTCCTGCGTGGGTCAGACACCTGGCTGACCAAAATCAAAATGATAAACCGACACACTGCAAACTTATGCCTTTCACACTCGATTCGAATCACTGGCTTCTGAGGCTTATTGTGTGATAAGAAACTTTATTGTCAACCTGTCTCATAAAAACCCGCAGAAAAACCTTTATTGTGTGGTCAGTTGTGCGTTGTACACTTAGAGTGAGGTTGAAATGTTTTAATATTAAAAATGAACTGCCAACTATTAAAAAGTGTGATCGAAGCAGAAACGATAAGAGCATAAAGGGGAACTGGACAAATGTTTTAAAAGGTATAAAAAGGTACAGGGAAATGTCAGGGGAATGGATAGAAATGGTTAGCTCTTTCTGAGAGCGAGGACAGACGCAGTGGCCTCCTTTAAAATGTTCTGATTGTATTATAACGAACTATCCTCGCAGGCGAAAGAGGATAAGCGGGTCTCCGACTGAGTTGGCTCCGGGGAAATCTGCCCGTCAGTGAAATATAGAATATCGCAAACGAGTCGATCCTCTGTGGCGGTCCCGGCCGTCCAGTTCCGGAGCCTGGCAGATCCGCAGCACTCCTCCGTTAAACTGCTAACGACGGGCCGGTCCGCTTGGATCGTAGCCGAGGACTTTGAGAAAAAAGTCTGTCTCCTGCAAGCCAAAGCCTCAACGGGGAGAGCGCTCCGAGCCGGACAACAGCGGGAAAGCCGACCAGACACCGGCTGTTACCCCGAAGCACACTCGGAGACCCCGAACCTCCGGCCGGGCAGAGAGCGCGCATTCCATTCCAGCCCCGGGGGAAAGGTCCCCGGATAACAATAATAATAATAATAACAACAATAAAAATAATAATAATCATTTGAGTTTGATAACGCGCCTTTCACGTCGGGGAGATGACCGAAAGTGCTTCCCAGGCTATTACTGCACTGTAAGGCACAGTCGGTGACTGTGTATTTCCAAGGCAGGCGTTTGTGGGTGGGATTGCACAGAATATTATTATTATGGGATATCATTAAGGCACGGTGATGGGTCTGCGTGTATGTCAGACACCCGGCCCACCAAAAGCCAAAGAGCATTGCTGTTCATCCGTAGATAGGGATTATATTAACGCTATAATAATTAATCAACGATAATTATGTTTGGATTTCATAATCAACCAAAGTACACGACTCCCACCTGCCGGGGGGGGGGGGGGGGGAAAGGGGTAACTTATTACAAAATAAATTAATGATAATAATTTGGTCACTCAACCCACGACTGTTTGTGGGATACTGCTGTGCGCCCACAAGACACACAGTCACTACACTTTACGGTATGTGCTGTGAAGCGCTTTGAGACGTCTCAACGACGTGATGAGGCGCTGCATCGAGCGCAGCGATTTATTATTGCGTATAATTATATTAATTACACTTTAATCATAAATAACTGATAAGATTTGCTTAAGGGCAATGCCATCATGTGACTGTTGCGTTATCTGCCATTCTCTCTCTCTCTCTCTTTGCTGCTCCTCATCGCCGCAGCCACCGGGTGGCGCTGTGGTACCAGCATCGCGCGGTGCAGCCTAACCCGCTGCCCGCGCAGCAAGTTTTTTTTGATGGACGGCCGCGCTGACCACTCGGCGGGCAGAATTGTGGCGCGGGTGGGCGGGAAGAGGGATCCTGGCCGAACCACGATTGGCCGGCGACGGGATGACGCGCACGGAGGGGCGGGGCGAAATTGACAAGACGGCCGGCGGTGCGCTGGGTGACGTCGGCAAGATTTTTTGATTGACGGCGGCGCCGAGGCGCTCAGCGAGTGGGGTGGGAGGGGGGGGAGGCAGCAACCAATGAGCGAAGCGGGGAGGCGGGCCCAGCGCGCCGGTGCGGCACGGCGCATGCGTGAAGAAGGGTGTGTGTGTGTGTGTGTGTGGGGGGCGGTTCGAGGATAGCGGTTGGTCTCGCGCAGCGGCGGTTGGTTTGGGGGAAGGGGTGGCGTGTGCGCCTGCGCGAGGAGGAGAAGGCGGGGCGGTGCGGTGCGAGACGGGCGCTTGGTCTCGCGCGGCGGCGGTTGGTTTGGTGCGCGTGCGCCTGCGCGCCGACGGACGGACGAACGGCCAGGGCAGGGGTTGGCGGAGGGGGCGAGCGAGAGAGAGAGAGAGAGAGGGGGTGGGGAGGGGGGGGCGAGAGGAGAGCGTTCCCGGGAGGGAAGATGGCGGAGGACCGAAGGCGAGCGGATAACGCCAAGCAGCGGCGGGGAGAGCAGCTGAAGCGCTGGCTGGGCTCGGAGACTGACCTCGAGCCCCCCGTGCTGAAGAAGAAAAGGAAGAGCAGGGTCAAGTTCGACGACGGCGCCGTGTTCTTGGCGGCGTGCTCGAGCGGCGACACCGAGGAGGTGAAGCGGCTGCTGGACCGCGGGGCGCTCGTCAACTACGCCAATGTGGACGGGCTGACAGCGTTGCACCAGGTACCGAGCGAGCCCCCCCGGTGTGTTGCCCGGTCCGTCGGTCCACCGACGGGCGACTCCGCGTCCCCCCCCCCCGAATGAATGCGACGCGTTGCGCTTTCGGTGCGGTGCGGTGCCGCCTTTAAACCTTCAAAGCCCGCAGTGCGGGCACCGGAGCGTGCGTTGGTTGTGGGTCCATCAGGGTGTCACTGGGTGTAACTTACAATGCAATACTCTGTACCACGGTTTGCGGTGAGTGTGAGTGTGTGCGTGCAGTTGCGGTTACTGTAGTACAGTATGAACCAACTGCGTTTCCTACCTCCCCTCCCCTCCCCTTTCCTTCCTCTTGACATCGGAGCCCCTGTTATCGGATTGGATTGTGTGTCAACCGGGCTCAGTTGGTCCCACTCTCGCCCGCCTCTGAGACAGACAGGTGGTTGGGAGGGTGGGGTGGGGAGGGGTTCAAGCCCCACTTCGGGTCTTGGAAGCACATAGTCTAAGCTGACGCGCCGTTCGCAGCGCTGGGGGCTGTGCCGCATTGTCGGAGGTGCCGTCCTTCGGAGGAGATGTTAAATCGAGGTCCCCACTGTGCCTGTTCAGTCTAAAGATGTTGAGGATCCGGTGGAACTGTTTGATACGAGAAGGGGAGTTTCTCTTCCCCCGGAGTCCTGGCAAACAATCCCCCCAAATAAAATCGTTCACTTCATGGCCGTTTGTGGGACACTGTTGAGCACAAACTGGCTGCTTTATTTCCCCTATAAAATACCCAATCGATCCACTTCAGAGTAAATCCTGCGAAGTCCTTTGAGACATTTCAACGACTTGATAAAGCATTATATCAAATGCAAGGATTATTATTGTTATAACTCACCTCTAGATAATTATTTGGGGAGGACACGTTTACAGGGCTATGGGGAGAGAGCGGGGGAGTGGGATTGATTTGGATAGCTCTTTTCAAAGAGCCGGCACGGACACGATGGTCCGAATGGCCTCCTTCTGTGGTGTATAATTCAATGATTTAATGACTGTCCTCAGAGGACATCATCCCCCCATCCCACCCCGGGGCTGTGCAGCTATAGCCACAGCCTTGACTGAACTGAACGTAACAGGCAATGTAACAGTAACAGCAACTCTCCTCTCACTCAGCAATGATCAGAGCACATTCTTTTAGAGGGTTATTGCAGTTGTCAGTGCTCGGAGGTTTCGTTTTTTGCAGGGGTGATGTTATTCTTAATAACTGGAGATTGTTGTTTGTTCAGCTGTTTGTGGGGGGGACCTGGCTGGATGCACATTGGCTGCGTGTTTGTCTGCTAATGTATAGTCCACTCACTGCGCAGCAGTCACCATTGAAGATTTTTGAGATGTTTAGAGCTTGTAGGCACTCTATCAAATGCAATAATTTTTGTTATAAATAGAAAGCCTGCACAGGCTGAACAAGTGATCGATCAATACACAGATTGCTGAAATAAGTGTTTAAAATTGTATTGGATAAGGTGCTATACCGAATGCAAGGATTATTATTATCATTTTGCTGTAGGAGAATGTTTCCATTTAAAAAATTATCAATACATATTTGTTTCCCTGTCTTACATACTATTTCTGTTGACTACTATGCAGTTTATGTTTTGCTATTATTTAATGAAATGTGGTTTGTGTTCTTATCTTATCCGCCACTGTTTGTGGGACACTGCTGTGCGCAATTGGCTGCTGCGTTTCACCCACAAAAGTCAATTTACTTTACAGTATATTCTTTGAAGCACTTTGAGATATCTCGAAGACTAAAATATGACCTGTAAGTGTGAATAAACTAGACTGATTGCAAAACAGTTGCCCTAGTTATGGATTAACACTTCCTATCTGTATAATATATGGAGGACATTGTTTTTGTCTAAATCCCATTTACAGTAGTTTCTACTCAGTCAGACATGCCCACTTGCCTCCTTTTTCCAGTTCGTAAAAGCAATATCCTTTTTCTACGGGTCATTAAGTTCACAAAACAAACCACAAATTCACTTGAATAGATAGATGGATCTCATGGTCACTCATTGGCAGTCAAAGTGGACATGCAGAAAACATGAGATTCCTGGACTTGGCAGTAAATGCAGGCGGATGGACAAGGACAATGTTTTCCTTAATTCTCTGTTATGACAAGTTTTAAGGGAAAATATATTAAAGTTATGTAATCCGTAACCCTTGTGAGAAATATGCAGTATTATTTATAATGTATACTCTGGATCTGTCAGAAAAACAGGTCATATTTGAAGGGAAAAATGGTGTGTGGTCATGTGATTTGAACTCCTGGTGCAGTGCTGCTATGAGCATCTATTTAAAAAATGTTTGTCATGTGATATGAACACATGATCAAACTTGTCTTCCATAATAGCTGCCCGTTATCTTAAGGTAAACTACAAAATGTACAGTCACTACACTTTACAGTATATCCATGAAGTGCTTTGAGACGTCTCGACGACTCAAAGCTCTTCACTTTCCCTTATTATTAAGGGATATTGTTAATGTATGGTAAAAATAATACTGCCAGAACGTTAAATTAGAAGCATTGATAATTACCGGGAGGGAAAACTAGTATCCATATTGAGATTAGATAATTTGTACAATACCAGAAATCAAACTTTAGATTTTGATGGTATTGTGGTTTAATATGTCTTCATCGAATAGAAGATCTCTGAACTACATTTATGTGGTAGAAAAAGTTCTGAAATTGCTTGAAAACAATCCTTGTGTCAGTAATCTGTTTATGGAATTACTAAATCAATAATGTATCTGGAACATTGAAGAAAGATTTGTACTTTACTGCTGGCAGCCCTATTTATGTGACAGATTTAATATATACTATAGAATTAAAATAAAAATGATTTTAGAATGTATGGCGTTTGAAATGTATATGCACTAGTGCCAAATTCTTAATTTAGCTATGATTAATTGTCCATCAAAATTGTCGAAATATCTATAACTTTTTGCTATTTTAAATACACTTAGGTTTTCATGAATCAACAAGAGCCTTATTTTATTTATAAGTACTGGGACAATTGTGCAATCTCGATAGACTGTAGGTAAAACCATTTTACATTAGCAAGGAATTTTACTTTTATAGCATCATATTATTCTCATTTTTAATTGCTTCTGTTCCAGAAACCCTTCTGTCTCCTGCTGTTTCCTCAGCTCAACAACTTTGAGCTCAAGTGAAAGCAGCTGGACACACCTTTTGCAAATCACAAGAGAGGTTCGGATGAAGAGGGTCCATTGGCCCATTTAATCTCATCCTTTCAGAGTAGCCACTCTACTGTTACCACCCCATTACAGCATCAAGTTGTTTCTTAAATGAGTTCAGCATCCTGACTCAACCCCCTACCTGGTAACCTGTTCCTGGTGCGGTGCAGTTAATTGCTCTCTGTGTTTTGAAATTTCCTTTTTCAACTCTGAACCTGTGCTCCCTTGTTGCTGCCTTGGCGTATCTGAAAGTATTTTGGATTTACTTTCTCAAACCCATTTGGAATGTTAAATAATTCCATTAGGTTCCCGCTGAGATGTGTGTTTTCAAGGTTGTAGCTTGCATCTTGTAACCCAGTATCCTATTGCAAAGAGCCAGCAATTGTGAATTCCCTGGACCTAAAAGCTGTCCCGAGACTTACAGCAAGATTTGCACAACAAAGGACATCTGTCTTGCCAATTCACCTATTTTAAAAACTACTATCCACCTATGCTGTATTATATGTAAAATACAATCATCTATACCGACCAGAACATTTTTGTCTCTGCAGTTCTAACCTTTGGCAGTTTTTGGAATTAGAATGAGCAACCATCTGTCCATCTAGTTCTCCTTCCATCATCGTGGCAGTTGCTTGACATGTTGTGTCCCTAACTATATACTGTATCCCATGATATTATTTTCAAGCAGAAAACTATCGAATTTGTTCCTCACACAGACAACACTTTCTGCTTCCACCGTCTCCAGAGGGAGCTTGTTCTATAAGTTTACTGAAGTAAAATACAAAATAAATTAAAGTAAAATAACATAAGACACTGAAGTAGTGACTCCACGGATTTGTTCTGAACTGATCCCTAGAAGAATTGATGCCAGTATCATTTCTTCTTTGCTTTCTGATGGCATTTGTTTTTTCAGTTTAGTCTCTTTCCTTAAGATGGCTCATACTGCCGTTTAGTTCTAAGAGTATCAGCAGACAAGTATCCATCTTTTCTAAACTTCTAGAGGGTTCAAGGCTACCCTTGTTGGACACCAACTATAACTTTTCTCCGGTTGGGGGCGGGGAGAGGGAGTTAAGTGGGGTCTCCTTGTAGCTGAATCAGCTCTTGAGCTGACATGCTTTGCAACTGAAATGTCAGAATTGAGTCAACCCTCTGTGGTGGTCTTGGCAGTCCGATTCCTAAGCCAGTTGGGTCCACAGCATTCCAGGGCATTGCTGATGACAACCCAGCTAGCTTACCTCATCGGTAGGAGATTTTACTTGGAGAGACAGATGGAGGCAGGGATTGTTTCAATCAGCTCTTATTACACACAAATAATACTTTGTTACTCCTCACACAAACAATACTTTCTGCTTCCACTGTCTCCTGGGCGAGCTTGTCCGTGTACCCTAATGGGTGGAATGGTCCTAGCTAGATGAGCAGCAGGCAAGCTACCTGTTTTTAGCTAGCTAAACTTTAGCAATACCTCAACGCACACTCTGGGGTTCTCAAGCCTTGCATTTTGCCAGCGTGCATCTAATACTCTGGAATTAGGTAAGCAGGATGCATTCCTCCAGAGAGAGTGTGGATTCTTTTTCAATACACAAGAATTTTCAGGTGGGATGCATGGAAATCTATTTGGTTTGGATACTCTTATTACAACAACAAGATTATATTTGTATAGTGCCTTTCACGTTGGGAGGACGCCCCAAGGAGTTGGACAGTGTACAGCATTTCAGACCCGAGCTGGGGTCAGGGAGGGAGAAGGGTGGGGAAGGTGGGTGACCGATGGCATGGTCGAAGAGGAGGGTTTTGAG